ATTGTGCAACTCCCGGATACCGTAGGAGTGCTTTGGGTGTACCAAACGTCACAACGTAACTGGGTGACTATAAAGGTGCACTACAGGTATCTCCGAAAGTGTCTGTTGGGTTGGCATGAATCGAGACTGGGATTTGTCACTCCGTATGGCGGAGAGGTATCTCTGAGCCCACTCGGTAATGCATCATCATAATGAGCTCAGTGTGACTAAGTAGTTGGTCACGGGATCGTGCATTACGGCACGAGTAAAGTGACTTGCCGGCAACGAGATTGAACGAGGTATTGGGATACCGACGATCGAATCTCGGGCAAGTAACATACCGATTGACAAAGGGAATTGTATACGGGATTGCTTGAATCCTCGACATCGTGGTTCATCCGATGAGATCATCGTGGAACATGTGGGAGTCAACATGGGTATCCAGATCCCGTTGTTGGTTATTGACCGGAGAGTTTTCTCGGTCATGTCTGCATGGTTCCCGAACCCGTAGGGTCTACACACTTAAGGTTCGATGACGCTAGGGTTATTAGGAAGACTTGTATGTGATTACCGAATGTTGTTCGGAGTCCTGGATGAGATCCCGGACATCATGAGGAGTTCCGGAATGGTCCGGAGGTGAAGATTTATATGTAGGAAGTTGTCATACGGTCACCGGAAAGGTTCGGGGGCATATCGGTATTGTACCGGGGCCACCGGAGGGGTTCCGGGGGTCCACCGGGAGGGGCCACCTCTCTCGGAGGGCCTAATGGGCTGTAGAGGAAAGGGAACCAGCCCTACATGGGCTGGGCGCATCCCCCCCCCTTGGGCCCATGCGCCTAGGGTTGGGGGGAAACCCTAAGGGGGCGCCCCCCTTGCTTGGGGGGCAAGCCCCCTCCCCTTGGCTGCAGCCCCCCCTCTAGATCTCATCTAGAGGGGCCCGACCCCCTTCCTCCTTCCCCTATATATAGAGGGGCAAGGGGAGGGCTGCACACAACATCCAAGGTGCAGCCCCTCCCCTCCCCAACACCTCTCCTCCTCCGCAAGAGCTTGGCGAAGCCCTGCCGGAGTACTGCAGCTCCACCACCACCACGCCGTCGTGCTGCTGTTGGAGCCCTCTTCCTCAACCTCTCCTTCCTCCTTGCTGGATCAAGGCACGGGAGACGTACTCGCTCCGTACGTGTGTTGAACGCGGAGGTGCCGTCCGTTCGGCGCTAGGATCTTCGGTGATTTGGATCAAGACGAGTACGACTCCATCAACCCCGTTCTCTTGAACGCTTCCGCTCGCGATCTACAAGGGTATGTAGATGCACTCCTCTCCCCTCGTTGCTAGATGACTCCATAGATTGATCTTGGTGATGCGTAGAAAATTTTAAATTTCTGCTACGTTCCCCAACAGGACCCCCCCTGCCATGGGAGGGTAGGACAAAAGATGTCATGTAAGTTCTTTTAATAAAGCACGTATGACTATTTACGGAATACATGCCTACATTATATCGATGAACTAGAGCTAGTGTCGTATCGCCCTAGGTTATAACTGTCTCATGATGAATATCATCCAACAAGTCACCGATCCAATGCTTACGAACTTTTCCATATTGTTTCTGCTAAGTTACTACTGCTATCATTATTGTTACACTTGCTACAAAATTACTGCTATCACTATTACTGTTACTATTGCTGTTGTCACTACTATCAAACTACTTTGCTACTGATCACTTTGCTGCAGATAATTAATCTCCAGATGTGGTTGAATTGACAACTCAGCTGCTAATACCTTCAAATATTCTTTGGCTTCCATTGTGTCGAATCTATAAATTTGGGTTGAATACTCTACCCTCGAAAACCGTTACGATCCCCTATACTTGTGGGTTATCAATTATTAGCTAAATAAGCAACTGACCTCATGGAAGTGCCCCCTGGTATCCAATTTTATGCCCAAATATGTGTCGAAGCTCCATTATTGCTCCTTCTCATGAGACCTTGAGAGAGCACGTCTCTACCTTCTACTATTGAATGCCATATTTGAGAGGGATTGGAACCCACTTCCGTAGAAAGAATAGTACCAATGGGAAATTAAATAGACTTTATCACCCAAGCACACATGGAATCAAGGCTAGTTAGGATACGCCAAGCTTGTCGAGCCAAAAGAGCGAGGCTAAAAAGTTCGGATGTGTCATTGATCTCCATGATACCCAATGTGATTTCCATTGGCCTTCCTTGCTGCCCCCAAAAAATTGACTGATGAGTTTGTTCATATGTTCACATAATCCCCGAGGTAGCTTGAAACATGACATTGAAAAGATGAGAACTGCTTGTGCCACTGATCTAAAAAGTATCTCCTTGCAAGCGACGGAAATTGCTTTTTTCTACCCATCTATTCGCTTTCCCCCACAATCTATCTTTCACATATTTAAAGGTACTTGACTTAAGAGATAAATATTAATATGAGATATAGTTTTGAAGATCCCGTCACGAGAAATCCAATGGGCAAAATGATTCGGTAATTGGATGCACGGTTCCATTGATAAATGCTCCCAATTTTTAAAAAATGTTCTCAAATTTAAAAATTATTCATGAATTTGAAATAATGTTCCCAAATTTCGAATCGGAATTTCAAAAAATGTTCTCAAATTTGAAACAAATGTTCTGAATTTTAAAATGCTCACATATTTAAAAAATTCTCACAAATTTATTTTTTTACATTTCAATACATGTTCCTATTTAAGAAAATTTGCAAACTTTTCTTGAATTCTAAAAATGTTCGTGATTTTTGAAAAAAAGTTTCAAAAAATGGTCATGAAACAAAATAATAATAATAATAACTAAAATAATTAAAGAAAAATTAAAAAAGAAACCGAAAAAAAGAAAACCCATAGAACCTTCCCAAAACTGACGGGAAGCACAGAGAAAACCATGCGAACTGGGCTGGCCCAGTATGGTTTGTGGTTGCAAGGGGGTGCATGTTTGGTCGATATCTATAGACCTATGGGGGAGATAGGGACAACGCCGATTGGGAGCTCTCCGGATTTTGTGTATTTTTCTTCAAAATCACTAGTTAAGGGTTACGTCTTGCAAAGTTTACTTCCCCATTTTCTCTGGTTTGACCAATGGGGCACTGCATGTGCATCAGTTGTCGGAACCTGATTTTTTTCCTTTTTTGTATAGATTCATTTTTCCAAGATGTTTTATCTCTTGATCCGTGCGTCCAAATACCAAATCATTTTCAACAATGGATTTCTCATGTTGAAATATTTGAAACTAGATCTCATGCTAATTAGTTTCCACAAAAAAAATTCCACACAAAAGACAAGAAATAAAAAACTAAGAGCTGAAAAAAATCCAAATAACAAAATTCAAAAAAACAAATAATAAATTATTCATGAAAAAAATGAATACTGAAAAAGGGAAGAGAAAACCCGAAGCCTAGAAGCGTGGTTGAGGGGTTTCCCTTTTTTCTGGAAGCACATGATGTGTTTTTCCTCTTTTTTTTGGAGAAGCACATATACGAAAGTTTGTACTTCCACACAAAGAAAATTTGTGCTTCTCACAAAATCACAAATTTTCTTTCCCTCAAGAAACACAACTGTGCTTCTCGCGGAAGCAAATCTGTGCTTCTCACAAAAACACAATTTTTCTTTCCCTCGGAAAACACAATTGTGCTTCTCGCGGAAGCAAATATGTGCTTCTCGTGAAAACATTTTCCCCTGAAGCATAGCTGTGCTTCACATTTTTTCCCTTCAAAACATCAGAAAAAATAGGCAGAAAACGAAAACAGAAAACCTCCCAGAAAAATCTCATGTTAACCCCAAAAACGTGAATAAAAAAATACATGGAACGCACCCAACACGTAACATGTGGCGACAACTGAACGCACTACTTGGCGCACCCTTGGAGGTCCCCGCAAGGGGTAACCTTAGTTAGTTATTTTCTTTTTCTTTCCTGGGTGTGGTGTGGGGGTCTTGACTGAGACCTCCTTTTGTTCATAGGATAGGAATATCATAATAATCAGAAAATCATAGGAAGTGTGATGAAATGTATCTCAATTCTTATAAAAAAATGAATGTCATTTGATGCATAGGTTATGATTTTTTTTCATTTCTCCCAGTCTAATGTTTTTTCTTTGAAATGTGAAGAATTAGTTTCTATCCTACTGCATAGTAATAATATAATCATTTCCTACAACCCCCCAAAACGAAATTCTTTGAAAATCCTGTGCTATAAAATTCCTACACAATTCGCACAAATCAAAGAAGGCCCGAGTGGGCTTTTTCCCATCAGCCCAAGGGCCCGTCTGGTTAGCGAAAATGGCCGACCCCCAACGAACAAATCAATCAATAGCCCAATCCTTTTTTCATTCTCCTCTCCCATCACCATCTCCGACTGCGCCGCCACGACCAGGAGCCATCTCCCAGCCTCGCTCACTCCGCCGTCCACCGCCGCCGCGCCGCTCCCCTTCGTCGGCCCTCACCAGAGCCGCCTCCGCCGGCCTCCACCAGACCACCGCCGCTCCCTCCGCTCCGCTCCGTGAGCCCGCCTTTGACCCGGCGGCGAGGACTGCTCCTCTCCTTCCCCGGACGGTTCCTCCCCGTCCCCCGACTCCACCCTCAGCTCTCTGGCTCTCTCAGGCGCCAGGCTAGTCAGCAGCCAGCGGCGAGGCACGGAGGCAAGCCGGCGGCAGCTCGCCGCTTTAGATCTCCACTTCGCCCTCGCAGGCTGCGGCAGCAGCACCCACCCAAGGTACGCTCCTGGTGCCATTGCCTTACTGAAGGTGATCTACAGACTACAGTACAGCTAGCTAATGATTTGATTATTCAATTTTGCACTTACTAAAAGCCTAATTCTATCCCTCTGGAACTTGGGAGTTGGAACAGGGCATCAACATTCTCTGTCAATTGGAACTCGTTGCAGTGCTACTCCTTGTCGTCCTCTCCCCTTTACTCCTGGACTGCCGTGGAGTGAAGATCCATCTAGCTGGTTGCGGCGAGGGGTTCGCGGACTCTGACCCAGGCGTGCCATCCGGGATGGCCGGAAGTAGCCTCTGGGTAGTTCGATTGGCTTCCCTTCTTGCAGTCGGATTCGTGGTCGGCTCCGTCAAGGCCAGTCCGGGAGATGCTCATCCGCAGTACAGGTGAGACGAAGCATTGCTGACTCATCCCATGTTGCACATGATGTACCATTGCGCCTGGCTGTCGTTTATTTTCCTATATACCTTATTCCAGGCCTTGCTGGATAAGTTGGTTCTCGAATTTTGTTAGGTTTTCTAATGCGAAAGTGGGCCTAGCTGGGTTTTGGTTGATGCTTATTGCTTGTAATTGTAGTAATTAAGTCTCAGATATATCGGATAGTAGCATTGTTCGTCTTCTAAATATATATATCTAGATGCGTAATTGGGTTAATTTCGGCTGATGTTTCGTCATCTTACCTAGTTGGTTAAAAATATTAAATCTCTCTTTCTATCTCCAAACTGTGATATCTTAGCCTTATTGGTATGCATGTACTGGAGTCCACAATTGACTATCCTACAGTTTGATTGAAAATATCTGAATAGGAAAACCAGACACTGTCAATCTAAGATGGTTATTGTTTGACTTCAACTTGACAATGGAATAATAGAACCTTAAAGTATTCCTGTCCGTCAGATGAACAATTAGTCAAGTTTCAGCTACCACACCCTACTTATTCTAGTGTAATTAGTAAATTGGTTCAAAGGTGGATTGACTAAAGTGGATAAAGTGACAAACACTCAAATGGAGGGAGTAATATGCGAGAAAATAGTGCCATACATTGAGTTACATAATTTTCAATCCCATTTTAGATGCTTTTGATTAGATGCACAAAGATTAAGTGGTGATACATGATTGGTATTCTTGCCATGGTAGTAAATTAGTCCATCATAATTTCTCCTTCTCTAACTTAATATAAGACATTTGTCAAAAAACGTCTTATATTAAGTTACGGAGGGAGTATTAGATAGACAGAGAGACTGCAGGTCAAACAATTAATTATTGGACTCCAAAAAGAAGGCACACACTCTTTATGAAAGTCAAGTTTGACCATGAATTTAACTAATAAGATTATACCATTAAGTTTGTATCTGAAAGAATTTTCCAATGGTATAATTTTTAAGTTACATGGCTTATGTATTATTGGTCTAATTGGCGGTCAAAGTTAAATCTCGAAAAGTGTGGGCGGCATCTTTTTAGAGTTGGAGGGGGAGTACTTACTATATTTCGGGGAAAAACATTAAGCTATACGCGCTTACTTGGTAATTGGTTATCATTGCATGGATATATTTTCTTACCTAAGCTGTGCACAAATGATTCTTCTAGCAAGTGGTTGAACTATACATTGTTAACAAAACATAGTATGTCTTTTTAGACGTTTGTTTGGTTATGAAAATTGTTACAGGCCAACTCATTTTTGCAACAGTTGCTGTGGATCTACCGACCACCTTTAGTAACTGTTGTGGCATCGTTGCCTCAGTTTTTGTTGGAATTTTTTCTTTTTATTGGTCTTGATTTGTGCTACATATTGTAGAACCATTGGTTAGGAGTTATACATTGTGTGAGGGGCTGTACTAGTTTGTGTTCATGAGGTGCTGTCATCTGCCGTCGTCTCATGAATGGCATGTCTGAACAAACCAGTTTAACTATGACACTTGAAGAATTGCATGTGTGCGCAATTGTTCATCTTCATCCTTGTTGAACTCTCTGACCGGGGTCATACTTTCCAATTATTTATTTTTATTTTGGAGTGACATACTACTACATGGTTTGTGGTGCCATTTCATTGCATGGACCGAAATTGCTGTTATTTTCATGCTATTTACATCTATTCCTATTTGAACTGCCGGTGGCGGGAGGGCACGGGAGGAGCGCTTTTGGTGAGGTTATTGGTCGCCTTCGGAGTCGACCTGGGAGTCGTCTGGGAGAGCAGCCTGGGAGGCGTGTTGGGCTTTTCTCTCACATAGCAATTTTACAGGAGTACAGGTGCAAAAACAAGGATTGTGAAGCACAAAAAACTGCATGATTAGTCTGTTGGAGTCTCAAAGCACAGGAAAACAACCCCATCCCTACGCGCATGAGTAGAAACAGTGGTTGGAGGGGTTTTTGATTCCTATTGAATTGTTGAATAGTACCCTGAAATTTCAGGTGGCCATTTCTTTGCTCGGAAGGGTAGGATCAAATTCCAAATGATTTAGGTTTCTCCAATTTCCTATCGATTTCCTTCAATCCAAAGTACCCCTTTGCCATTTACCATAACATTTGTTTAGCTTTATCAATTGTAAATAAAATTGCTCTAGACGCAGTTGAATAGATTCTGCTAAATTGTGGGACAGTGTTAAAGAAATGATTTTAATTAATGTTGTGTTTGCTTGCACATCATCTGTTCTGTAGCTGTCTTGTGACAGTCAGTTGAGGCAACCTGGGTGGTGATAGGATGCCTAGGTCCTCTTGATCAAATTTCAGGATGCAAGAACAAATAGTAAATAATACTCTCTCTGTTTCTAAATACTCCCTCCGTCCCAAAATAAGTGACTCAACTTTGTACTAATATAGACTACATGTAGAGTATATTATTTTGGGGCGGAGGGAGTATAAGTCTTTTTAGAGATTCTAATATAGACTACGTGTAGAGTAAAATTAATGAATCTACACTCTAAAATAGGTCTATATACATCTGTATGTAGTTCATATTGAAATCTCTAAAAGGACTTATATTTAGGAACGGAGGGAGTATCTGATATAATACTATAAATTGAATTTATGTGGCTGCACATTAGGAGATATAGCAGCACAATAGTAGAATGACCCCAATTCTAAACAAAACATTAACAGTGGATTACTGTAAGTCAATAACTAGGCTACACCTGTGAATGATATTTCTTTTCCAGTGCGTGGGTTGTTCATGATTAATTTATAGTATGATTGCAGTAATATTTTTCTTCTAGTATGCTTCCATTTTGTTTGTGCAATCAGTCTTCCACCCATAATATCTGGTTTCTGCCTGTCCTTTTTTCCTGCACTCTATGGACTCTTAAAAGTGACTATTAAGTTTGTGGATGTATTTCGTACAAAGTAATTGAGTTCACCATATTTATTTTTTCCTTTTGTATTTTTCTTGACAAAAATTTGAACTGAAAACTGGTTGGGTTCCTGAAATTTGTTCATCTATCGACCTTTCAGTTGCTGTCGTTCTGATGTTACACTGTTTAGAAGTTTCTGGTAACTTGCGTTGTGATCAACCTGCAGAACTTGTGTGAAGGAGTGTCAGAATACAGGGATTACTGGAAGTAACATCATCAGCCACTGTCAGTCCCGGGATAACGACAGCACATCTGCTGGAAGTTCTTGGTATACACATGAGCCCCTTTACTTGCAGTGGAAGCAACAGAACTGTATGACAGACTGCCGCTACTACTGCATGATACAAAGAGAAGAGCGACGGCAATTAGGTGGCCTGAGCCCTGTTAAATATCATGGAAAATGGCCCTTCAAACGTGTTTCTGTCTTCCAGGCATGTTTTGGCTTGTATGTTGATGAGTGATACTGGTATTTCACCATGATGACTACCACTACTACATGTCTTAACTTGTTTGCCATTTATCAGGAGCCCCTTTCAGCTGCACTGTCTGCTCTCAACCTATTGACGCACTTCATTGGCTGGCTTTCATTCTTCCTCCAAGTGAATTACAGATTACCTCTTAGACCTCAGACGAAGAGGACATACTACGAATACACTGGCTTGTGGCATATCTATGCAATATTATCACTAAATGCATGGTTCTGGAGCACTATATTCCATACTAGGTGTGCATTTGCTCAAAGCTTGGGCATGCTGTCATAATAGTATTTGATATCTTGCTCAGCAGCATCATTCTTCATTTTGTAGGGATATTGACTTGACCGAGAAAATGGATTACTCTTCAGCTGTGGCCCAACTTGGCTACTCTTTAATCCTTACATTGCTAAGAACTTTCAATGTCAAGGATGAGGCTGGCAGGGTGATGTTTGCTGCACCTATTCTAGCATTCGTTACAACACACATCTTGTATCTTAACTTCTACGAACTTGACTACGGTAAAGTTCCTTTTGCTTGATCGTGTCTTCAGTTTACCTTGGCACCTTGCACATACTTTGCCTTTTGTGTAGAAACATAATATCGATTCATGTGCATCTGCTGCGTTTATTTGCCTTTTCAGGATGGAACATGAAAGTTTGTGTGGCAATGGGTGTTGTTCACATTGTCGCATGGACAACCTGGGCCGTTGTGACCCATCATCCATCACGATTCAAGGTTTGGATCGTCATATTCGGAGGAGCTCTAGCAGTGCTTCTTGAAGTGTATGACTTTCCTCCGTACAAGGGGTATGCTGATGCACATTCGCTGTGGCACGCGAGCACCATTCCTCTCACCTATCTTTGGTGGACCTTCGTTAGAGACGATGCAGAATTCCGCACCTCCACACTTGTTAAGAAGGCCAAGTAGTAGTAAATTAAGGTCAGTATGAATGCTGTTAGCTTGTCCCTCTCTCGAGGTAACATGGGCAGAGGACACACGTGCTGCCATGCCATGTGTCCCCAGAAGCTCGGTGTTCCCTGGATCGATCAGGACTTACCATTCATCTTTCAGCGAAACTCAGCATCTTGTTTATGCGGTATCTTTGGTTCTTGACCTCCAGATTTCTGTTTTGATTGATATCAACAATTGTTTTGTTCTGTAATAGGAAAGGACATAATCTTTTTCGTGTCTGTTGAAATGGTTCACCTCACGGGTTTCAATGCTTATATAAACCTTAGCATTGCAGTCAAAGACGAGATAGCAGCCAGAAGTTCTGAATTTCACTTCCTTGGGGAATTTTCCACTCGGACGCTCATTTCTTCCCTATTACCGTAAAAGGGTGTTATTTTACTTCTCTGAACCCACAAAGTTCTGCAACGGCTGCCAAGCTTTGCTAGTAGTAGTAGTGTATGGTTTTACAGAAGAAGGAAAAATCATCCATGGAGGCTGGAGGTCCCCGGCGACGACGCGTTAGTGCCCGGCGACAACAGCAGGACTGGGGAGGCCGGGGAAGCAGACCTTGATGAAAGACGCGCTGGGGAGCGACGCCGACTGGTAGGCGCTGACGAAGTTGGACACCTTGAGCCAGCAGAGGCCGGAGCCGTCGGAAAGCGCGGTGGCGCCGACGCAGGAGCGGCTGGCGAGGCAGTCGAGGCGGCATGCCGTGATGCCGACGTAGAACTGCTCGATCGCGATCTCCGGCGGGTAGGTGAGGAACTGCGTGTTGTCGAGCTGGAGCATGGTGGAGTTGCCCGGGCAGTTCTGGAGCTCGGTCTTGCGCTTGCACCCGCTGCGGGGGTTGGCGGCGTCGTTGAGCTCGAAGTTCCGCGACGGGCAGCCGCAAACCGGCGACGTGCGGTTGTAGCTGCACACGCCCATGTTGCCGCAGTAGCCGAACACCTGGCATTGGTCCGCCACCGCCGACCACTGCTCCGTCGCCGTGCCGCTGCCGCGCCCGGCGCTGTAGGCGCGGAAGTTGCCGTCCGACTCGAGGCGCAAGAAGCGCAACATGTCGTCGCTCTCGCCGTAGTTGCTGCTGTAGGCGACCACGACGGGGTTGACGAGGGAGCCGTCGTTGAGGGAGACGATGCCGTTGGTCTGCATCGTGAGCGTGACTGTCTTGTTGGCGGTGAAGGAGTTGTTGTAGCCCTTATTGAAGTAGGTGACGGGGGCGGCGCCGGCGCTGGCCCAGCTGAGCGTGAGGTTGCCGGACCTATCGACGGCGAAGACGTAGGGGCCGGAGGTGAGGTTCATGCAGGAGGTGAAGCTCTGCGACATGACCACGGTGTCCGTCGGGTGGTCAAATGACTGCCACACGACGCGCCCCCTGGAATTCTTGAGCACGAGGTTGCCGCTCTCTTGCAGGGCGGCGGCGGCGACGCCCTGGCCGGCGGTGCCGGACGACCATAGCACGGCCCCGGATCCTTTGACCAGTTGCAGATCGCCGGAGGACGAGAGGCGGAGCGAGCCCCTCGAATCCACGGCCGCGCCGGCTCCGGCGGACCAGACGGGGACGCCGCCGGCATAGGTGACCGCGGCCACGAAGAGCGACCGGGAGGTCGGGGACGGCGCGAAGCCGAGGGAGACGGTGGAGTTGGGCGACGACCACGAGGTCGAATTGGCCGCCGGCGAGAGGGAGGAGCCTAGGGGCATGTCCGCGCCATGGGACAGGAAGGAGAGGAGCAAGAAGCAGCAGCAGAGGACAGCAAGATCCGCTCCGGCTCCGGGATCTCCCCGTAGAGGCCGCATCTTTCTTCGACGGCGGCGAGGAAGAAGACCCCGGATTCCTCCGTGGTGGTGGTTGCACCGGAAGAGGCTAGCTGCGGGGGCTACGTAGCTCGGCTTCCCATATCATGGCGTCTTCCCTCGGCTATATAGCAGAGTCTCCACGGCCAATTAGCTGCTGACAATTCCCTGATTTTCCTTGATGGGCCTCTCCCTCAATCTTTGTCATGTCGCTCCTGTGTATGACCAAAAATTCAAAGACTATTCAGAACAATAGAATTGTAAAACATATTTTTGCTTATCCAACAGAAGTCACATACATTTCATATTTTTGGGGCATTTTTATTGATTTTTAAAATTATTTCAGTGATATTTAAAAACATTATTATCAATTCATTTTTATTTATTTTAGCGACTTCTAGTTCTTTCATCAAATATAGAAATAGATTCGTACATATTCATAAATGTCAATTAGTTTGGGACATGAATTTTTGAAACATGGTTCTACACGCACAGCTAGAACAATAAAATTGAAAAAAATACTTGAAAAATAAAATAAATCTGTAGCATTTTCTAACATAAATAGTCGACTGCTATGCTCGCGTGTGAAGTTTCACGAAGAAATGACATCCGTGGTAATCTTGGTAAAAATTGACAAAATCAAAACTATATTAAAAGAACATTGTTTGGTGAATAGTAAGGTCTTAGTTGTATTTGCTTTACTTCACGCGTGAGTAGAATGGTATACCAAGTTTGGTACCCAAAAAAATAAGAACTTTTTTTCCTACCATTTTCTCTAAATGTACTATTCGCGTGGATGAACGGGGAACCATGTTAACCTTGGTGTTTTCAATTATTTTGGTCATAATTCTACCAATTTTAGAAAAATTCAATCCTTAAACAATTTCAGAAAAATTACATGGATATTTAATAAAAAAATTAATTATTCAAGTCAAACTGCAATCAATTTCACAGACATTTCATATGTGCTTATGAGTGAACCTATTTGTGCATGTAAGTTAATACCTTTTTATGCGATTTTAGATATTGCATGCACGCCTTGCTATGTAGGAGAGAAATCGATAAACTAGCCAGTGTACGTATGGCCAAGTTTCCATAGATTTATTTTCAGTGGCCTTTGATTTTGTATTGCCTCTTCTAGTTTTACTTCGCGTTTATAGTTTATCTTTGCTCTATCCGGGACACAAAGAATCTGATGAACAATAAAATCAGAAAAATAGCAAAAAAAGATAAATTAAAAAAACTTCTGAACTTTTTTGTGACGAACGTTGACAAATGTTTTGTGTGCTTGATTTTTTTTATGATAAAATGTTTTATGCAAAGAAGGACTTGTATTAACGAATAATGCTTTCTGTGCACGGCGTCCACCGGTATGCATTGGTGGATCACACAACCGCAGTCATGACGCTGTGTATATGTTTCGTTTCCTGCTATATGAATGCATGTATTACAAACGTTAGCGCCCCGTACTGGCACACCTGGGCCACCGGATCGAGTGCCAGGTTTGGCACGAGGTAGAAACCTTGAGCGACAGAGTACCATGAGTCCATGAGCCGGCACAAGAAGCAAGCTACTGGTTCGTTTGAAATCTTTTAAAAGACGCCATTGTTTTGATCTAACTCGCTGAACGTGCATTATGAAACTGTTAGAAGGGAGAGAGGAGGATTGGTGGAATAGTTGTTTATTGCTTGAGCCTCATGGGCATATATATAGGAGTACATGATCTACTTGGAGTACAAGGCAAGCCAGAATATTTCCTAGTCTAACCTATGTTTCCTAATACAATCATGTTACTCAACATCCCCCCGCAGTCACAACGGTAGCGATGCAGACGGTGAGACTGGAGAAGAATCCGAAGGCAAGCCGACGGACACCCCCCACAGTCGTAACGGTCGATGCATCGCGGAGTCGTGGCTGGAGTGGAAACCAACGAGGTTGCTCAAGCAGGCGGTAGCCCTTTGTGCCGTTTGTCGATGTAGCCGAGAGCGTGGGTGGTGGAGCCGTGGTCGAGGTAGCCGTGCGAAGAATGCCGTGGTCGATGTCGAGTCGGGGTAGCCGGTGTCGAGGAAGTCGCCGTGGAGCCGCGGGCGCAAGGGGGCGCCGAGTTAGCATGGGCGCAGTGGTGTCGAAGTAGTGGGGCGCCAGGAAGTAGATGATGTTGACGACGCGTCGCGGCGGGTTTGCCAAGCCCGGGGACACATCGTGGACGAAGGCACGCACCGGTGTTGCCAGCACCGGGCATGCATAGACGGACGAAGACAAAGGAGGTGGATGGGCGGCTGCGGAGGCTACGGGGGTAGCGGCGGCGGCTACAAAAGAAGAGCGGCGGCGGCGGCCTCACGGCCGCGGCGGCGGCTAGGTTAAGAGCGCGACGGCGAAGCTCGAAGTAGGCGAAGAACCCTGACAGCGTGACGAAGACCGGCGCGGACGGTGGCGTTCCCACGCCAAAGGAGGTGCTGCGGTGCATGCCACAGGAAGTCGACGCGCGGGGACGGCGGTGGACCGTGGGCCGCGGCGCTACGGCCCGAAGGGGCGACGCGGCGACGGCGGGCAGGTCGGGTTGACGACGAAAGACCTCGGGACGGTCACAGGGACCGCGGGCCGCGGTGCTACAGCCCGAAGGGGCGACACAGCGGCGGAGCGCGGGGTGGTGCAACCGCGTGGACGGCCTCGAGACGGCGGCGTGGACCGCGTGCCACGCTCGCTACGGCCCGACGGGGCGACGCAGCGGCGGCGCGAGGGGCGGTGCAGCCACGGGGACGGCCTGGAGTGGACGGCCTCGGGGCGGCGGTAGACCGCGGGCCGCGGCACTACGGCCCGAAGGGGCGACGCAACGGTGACGCGGGTCGGTGCAGCCAGGAGAAGAACC